TGAATTAAATTATATGAATCAGTGAAGCAGTAGACTTAGTTTAAAACATAAATTTAATACTGTGGTGAGTTAGCCATGGCTGGATGCCAGGTGCCCACCAAAGCTGCTCTGTCACTCCTCTCCTCAGGTGGATGGGGACATAAAAATAAGACAAAAGACTCGTGTTAAGATAAGGGCAGGGAGAGATCACTCACCAGTTACCATCATGGGCAAAACAGACTCGACTTGGGGAAATTAATTTAATTTATTGACAGTCAAATCAGTAGGGTCATGAGAAATAAAACCAAATCTTAAAATGCCTTCACCCTACCCCTTCCTTCTTCCTGGCCTCAACTTCCTCCCCCTCAGCAATGCAGAGGGACAGGGAATGAGAGTTGCAGTTTGTTCATCACACGTTGTCTCTGCCACTCCTTCCTCCTCGCACTCTTGCCCTGCTCCAGTGTGGGGTCCTCCCATGGGAGACAGTCCTCCATGAATTTCTCTAACATGGGTCCTTTCCACGGGCTTCAGTTCTGCACTGACTGTTCCAACGTGGGTCCTTCACTAATTGTTCCAATGTGGGTCCCTTTCATGGGATGCAGTCCCTCAGGAACAGGCTGTTCCAAAGTGGGTCCCTCACGGGTCACAACTCCTGGCAGCACACCTGCTCCAGCTTGGGCTCCTCTCTCCTTGGAATCACAGGTCCTGCCAGGAGCCTGCTCCAGTGTGGCCTTCCCACAGGGTCACAGCCTCCTTTGGGCATCCACCTGCTCTGGCCTGGGGTCCTCCATGGGCTGCAGATGGATCTCTGCTCCACTGTGGACCTCCATGGGCTGCAAGTGGACAGCCTGCTTCACCATGATCTGCACCACGGTCTTCAGGGGAATCTTTGCTCTGTTGCCTAGAGCACCTCCTCCTGCTTCTTCTTCTCTGGCCTTGGTGTCTGCAGTGATCTTTCTCCTACATGTTCTCACTCCTCTCTATGCAATTGGTCTTGTGCAGTTTTTTTGCCCTTCTTAACTATGTTATCCCAGAGGTGGTACCAGTGTTTTTGATGGGCACTGCCCTGACCAGTCATGAGTCTGTCTTGGAGCAGCTGACATTGGCCCTTTTGGACATTGGGGAAGCTTCTGGCAGCTTCTCACAGAAGCCACCCCTGTAGTCCCCCCACCAGTACCAAAAGTTTTCAAAAGTTTCCAAACCCAATACAAATACAAGAAATAATTAATGTCAACCAGGATGCACAATTATTCATGTGTAAAACTGATTCTTTCTTTAATTAGTTTTTTAAGCTAGAGGTGTCCTTTTTTGTCTACCTTGAGCACACCTGTGGTTTAACTTATGGCTTACTGTCCTACAGAATGAATTACTATCCCTGCAGAATCTAAAATCTTTGAGTTTAGGTCAGTAACCCTGTTTCATTTAAGAAAATGGACTACTACTTTTTGGTCTCATCGCTACAGCTCACCAGTTTCTGCTGTATCTGCTTATAAATGTGTAATGTGAAAACTGCTCTTAGAAACAGCATGCTAATATCCTCTGAAGAAGTTGTTCTAATGATTCTGATTCCTTCTAGAGACTGAGGACTTCTTTCAAACAAGTCTAACTGAAAGACAGCTCTGTGATTAAAATTATGTCAGTTTCTTGTTCTTAAAAACTACAAATTTTATAGGTACTGTTTCTACATGTAGAGTACAAGCTAATGAATTCTTTCCATTGAAATTCTGAACTCATTCAGAGTCCTATTGCTAATACTGCTGCTTAAATGTAATTTGTTTAGTCTCAACTAGAAACTAAAACAGATTTAGAATAAGAATTTAGAATAAGTTAAGAGGGTAAAAAGAAAAGTTTTGACCTTTGTTAGCAAATTTTATTTCTTGTCTTCTTCTTGGTATGTTACATTTCAAAATTGATGTATGTCAACAGTGCAGTTGGCAGTGCCCCAAGGAGCAGCACATGTGCTCTTTCTGCAGTTGCATCTTTTAGTGCAACATAATAATCTTGGTGTATGGAGTAACCTTCAGATAATTTTCCCAAAAGCCTCATGTAAAATCAGTTTTGCTCTTGCTTTACTATAGATTGCACTGAAATGCAGCAGTAAGAAATAATGAGATTCAGGCTGTGACACATAAAACCAAACGTGTTCAGTCTAATCCAAAGCATGGGGGCCTGGGGCACATTTCTCTCCATTCTAGGAGTTGAGCTGGTTGTTCAAGGCCTATGTGCTGCTAAGAACTGTGGCAGAGGAAAAGCTGCTAAAAATTAGGATCAGTGTCAATTCTCCCTTTTATGATTCCAGAGCTGCTTTTAAGCCAAGGCTCTTCTGGCTGGCTCCTGTCTTTGAGATGTTGCAGCTGTGTTGCAGCTCCATCTGTGCCTGGTCTCATATCTCCCTGATTCCAACCCTAACCCAGGTTCACTTTGTGGCTTGACCTTGGACTGTCTTGGGCTGCTCACCAGGCTGTTGCTGGCCCTGGTCACGATCTCAGGACTGACTCTCCCTGGCCTGTGCAGCTTTCCTCTTGGTCCTGTGGCTCCCTTGCTGTGAGGAGGGCTAGGCAAGTTCACTAAAGAAAATCCCATTTATAGCATAACAGGAATTTGTCAAAAGAGATGCTTTAGCAGGTTACATGTGTCAGCTCAGGCTACACTGAGTCAAATGGGTGCTCATGGTCCTTTGTGCAGTGTGCCAGCAGCTTTAACAGTTGTTCCAGGAAATGGGCAAGTGCTACTTTAGACTTGACTAGATCTTGAATTTTTGAAAGTCCATGCAATAATTCTAATAAGACATTATCTGGAAGAGGACCACTGAGCACCTTCTGTGACTCTTTAGACTCACCTGATGAAAAATCTTTTCTTATGAGTTATTGATAGAATACTATGCATGTTATTTTGGTTTTGAAAATATCAGGTACTGTTTTCACATTTTTCCTGGGGAAATGCTAGTCATGTTATGTATTTTAGACTGGGTTCTCTAATCTATGTATAACTGATTACTCATGCTTCATACTTTTTGGTGTTTTTTAACAGCTTTCCATTGAAATTGGAACAGAAGTTAAAAACCAAAATAAAATGTTATCAGAAATGGTAAGTATGTGGTAACTAAATTTCTTTAAATACAGGGCAGGATTGAGAAGTTAGTAATGTAAAGCATCCTGGTTTTTAGTATGAACATTTTTATTAAAATGTTGACAGCTTATTGACTGTAACATGTGACTGATTTGGTAACAGTATTTCTGTTCAAAAAGATAAGATGTGCAAATATGTTACTTTCAAGGCACAACCAAGGCCTTTTTACTTCAGATATGACTATTGATTTTCAATTAGAAAATGTATAGTACTATTAAAGAGGCAGTTCTATATTTAATTGTATTCAAGAATAGAAGAAGGAAGCAAAAAAATTAGAAAGTCAGAAATGCCTTTTTTTCTTGCACTTTGCTTTGGCTTGGGGAAAAAACAAGTTTTTCGTGGTTAATTTTTGCCTCTAAAATAATTTTAGTTTTGGAAATTCTGAAAAAACAAGGAAAACTACACTTAGCGAGCTGTAAGGGTATTTCTTTTCTCAGAGTAACCTGTTTTTTATTGCTTTGTTTGCTTTTTTTTTTTTTAAATGTAGGAGAATGATTTCGACTCTACAGGTGGACTTTTAGGTGCAACTATGGGCAGACTGAGAACACTCTCCAGAGGAAGCCAGACAAAGCTATTATGTTATATGATGCTCTTTTCATTGTTTGTTTTTTTTGTAATATACTGGATTATTAAACTGAGGTGATGCACGGTACCTCTGGTTTACATTGTGTAATTTCAACTACAGTCTTAATTAATGAAGACATTGATCTAAAGTGGTATATTCTGTTGATAAAAAATGGTGAAATTGTTCTAAATTGCATTAACTATTAATGCAATGGTATGTATAGTTTTCTTAATATGTCAGAATTTTTCCCATCATCCCCTGTTTTGGGGGATGGATTGTAAGTACACAGAAAGTGCATAGTAGGTGGCTTTTTTTAAGGGAAAATAGTTTTTAGAATTGATTTTAAAAATACAGAAAACAAGGGTTTTTCGAATATGAAGTAATTGCAGAATTACAAGGCTTTCTCTTTCATTCTGCTTTTCATTCTGCACCATGCTCTAAATTAGAGCTCCAGTTTCAGGCATGTAGTAATTTCTAGATTGCAAAAGCAATTGGTTTTATCTGTGGATTTTTAAAAGGCTGGCCTGAAGCTAACAAATGTAAAAGTGGTACCACCAAAAATTACTTTTGTGGCTAGATCTGATAGTGTTTAAGTAGCTTAAACTGTGTGCTTAAATGGTATTTTGGGGAGAAGTTACTTAAAACTGGATTTTATTTTTTAATTCAAATGTGACAAATCATGCTTACACATCTCTTTTAAGCAAATGCCTTTGATCATTGGGATCAATCAGTATGGACACAGTACAAATGTTTTCTTTATATTTAAAGTATCAGAACTTAATGATTCCATTGAATCACAAACTTTTATCATTAGGATGTTTACTTTTCAATTTGTGATGGTCCCTAGATTTACACTGCATGATGCCTGAAATACAAGGGCAGATATTTTGAATTTTATATTAAAGTAAGTTATGATGCACCTGTTGGAGGTGCAGTCACAGTAAGGTTTTTTTATTTTGAAGACTTAGCTTTGGCTCACCAAATAGTTTCTAATCGTTGAAGCTATTATATTAGTGAGTTTAACGTACAAAAAAATTAAGTTTCCTACATATTCAAGTTGTATCTACAATTTTTGAAAGACTTTTCTAGAAATACTGTATAATGTGTTGCCATTAATAACTAATTATCAAGTGTCAAATAAAGTGTCTTGTAGTATTATTCTAGCTAGTGTTGTTCATATACATTCTTCTCCATTGTAGAATACCGGTATAATTTTTGGAAATGGTGCTGCATTTAAGGGGCAATTTTTTTTTTCAAATCCATAATACAGGCTGTCTCTTCTGGCTTAAATGACTGTTTTAGGAAGAGTTTAAGTAATTACGCACAATTTTCATATTAACATGTTTAATATTTTTCTTTAATAATTACGCACAAAACATGGTACTTTGCTGCTGAAGTTCAGGCCTCCAAAATCTTCAGATACAATTGAAGAGTTGATTATGGAATTCTGCAAATAAAAATCAACCACTACTCTCATCACCAAACATCCATGACAGAGTTGATGTGAACTTGGCAAAGATGACACAGCTCATTGTCATGATTGCTTGCTAGAAGTGAAAGATAGGGAAGGTACCTGTAATTAAGAGCAAAGACACTGTTCTAGTATTTGGACATGGCAGAGAATCATTTGTGCCTTAATTACGGGTCTTAAAAGCAAAGCTACGCTGAAATTAGATTAAACTACTAATGAAATTGTAGCCGTATCCATATAGAAGTTCTGTTTCTTAATTGGTGGCGTAGATGCTCTAAAATGTAGATAAAGCTTGATTAAAGAACACGTTTTTTCTGTGTGCTTAGCATGGATCCTTGAAAAACTTCAGTAACCTACTGAAAAAATGGAAAAATACCTTGCAGGAGGCTACATTCTCTCAGGCTGCTCTATATCAACAGAATTTTGACATTGGAGAACACATGGAATGGTAATGCTGAAAGACCTGGATGTGCATTTTGATGACAAAATTACTGTTAAGTTTTCCTCTCAAAATGTACTGGCTGTTTACCTTCAGTGTGCAGCACAAGCCATGCTCTTGCTGTCCTAATTTTCCAGAAAGAGTGGAGCTGTTTCACTTGCTTGGAAGTATTTCCATGTATTTGCATATGATGGAAAGCATGGTTTCATCTGTCCCACCTCCTATTGACATCAATCTCAAGTCTCTGTAGAAACATAAAGAGTAGATTTAAACATGTGCATGCTGTTCTCATGGTTTTCTGCTGGGAAACCTGATGAGATTACCTACATGTGTCATACTAATTCCAGATGCCTGCAGAACACCTCATCCACTGCCTTCTCCTGGGGAGGTGGTCTGTGATACTTCCCTCAATATCCCTGCTGGTCCTCTCCCCAAGCAGTAGGTGCCTAAGCCTCCAGTTGAACTTGAGGAGGGGAGGGAGTTTTTCCAGGGCCAGCAGCAAAAAGTGTTGCAGCCCTTAACTTTGATGAACTGTGTGGTAAATAATAGTCAATCAGTACAGGAGAATCGTACAGAGAGGGTACAATTTTCATTCAGGTTTTTTAACCAGTAAGCATCCTGGTCTCCCTAATGGCTAATGTGAGACCTAGCAGAACACATATGTATTATATAGTGGTATAGTGTTGTATGGTATTCTAGTATAGTTTTATATAGTCTGTAAAGCTGCTGTGCTTTAAAAAGGAATAGCTGCTCCAAGAATATTTACTTTCAGTTTGATATATCTAATCACAGTCATTTAAAACCTGCCATTAACATCACTGAGTCATCCCTAACAGTATTGCCTAAGTTTCCTGTGCTAGCCAGATTGCAAAATACTGCAACCTCAAGCAACTTTACTCACAAATTTCTTTTCTCCTTTGGGAAGAATTAAAAACCACCATTGTCAACAAAAAAACCTACCAAAACAGTTCTAAACTACCTCTACTTAATAATCTGAAGATTCCCCACCTTCCTACAGGCCTTGTTGAAGGCTGTGGAGCTGGAACAGTGGTAGGTTACTTGTTCTTAGTGCTGCAGTGTTGTCTGCTTTGTCAAGCTGCAGAAAGCCCCTGCCTATGCTCAGCATTTTGCATCTTCACTGTAGCACCAGCAAGTAACTAATTCTTAGGACTCCTCTGTGATGCCAGTAAGAATCCTCCATTTGCAGCAGGAGTCCTGGACACGTGGCTTGTTTATAAGATGTTAGAAATGGGCACTGGTTTTGGTGGTGTGTGTGACAGAAAAGTCAGGTTGTCATGTATAAAGACACGTTTTAAAAAAATAAAACACCTTTCACATATGTTTTGTGCATGTGTGTGTCTTTACAAAGTTCCTAGTAATTATGTTTTTGTAGGAGTGAGATAAGGAGTATTTCTTATATAATCTACAGAGAAGTGACTAATGGTGATCTCTCTCCTGGGGAGACAGGGTGGAAGGTTTCTCCTAATTTAACCAGATCAAGATGACAAAAGACTCAAATGATTTTAATCTTCTGGGAAAGAGGCTTTCAGAATAAGAAAACAAAATCATAGGACCAGCTATCCTGCCAGGAACTGCAAGGAAGCTGGGAAAGAGGACATAGTAAAGTAAGCTTTTATATCAGCTATTTACTGTATGCTTTTGGTTTGATAGTTTATATTATATCAATTATGCATAGTTAATATGGCACATAAATATTTTAATACCTATAAATATTAGAACTTAATTGCTTTACTTAAGCTACCTCTAGAATCTTTTCATCTGGCACAGTGACACTTTGCTTTCTGATTTCTCCATTGCCTTGTTACTGCCTCACGACAGAGCAGCAAGTCCTGCTCTACCACAGCCCCACTGAGGTGAGCACCAACCTGTCATGGCTTCACCCTGACCAGGGACAGTTAGGAACCAGCCTGCAATACACCATGCAGTTTTGTGAAGGTGTCATTCTGAGGGACCAAACCTCTAGCTGCTTGTTGAATGCTGAGAGAGTGGGAGTTAGCCTGAGGAAAGAGAGAAATCCAGCTATTGTGTTCTATCCCTCTAAAACACTCCCTGCAAAGAGTTTCTTCTCATTCGGGAAATGCCATGCAAATGATACACTCACTATAGATTATAAGACTTATCCTACTCAACCAAATCAAGAGATGTAAATGTTAAAAAAGTAATCCAACTTTTTGACAAAAAATTCTTAAAAGCCAAATTAAAAAACTACACTTATAAGGGAGCATAAGGAGCCATTCCCACTCAATCCAGGTTATCAATAATTTCTAGTTATGGAGCAAAAGGAACAAAGAGAACCCTCTGTGTTGTCAAATCATGTTTCCCATCTCCATAGGTAATGTCATATAGCCTTCAGAAATGTGTCAAGCACTGCTTTGAGGAGAAAAAACAAGCTCCCTTTAATCTTGGACTATCCTAATTTGAAGGCTGTCAGATAACAAAGTTATTCTAATGATTAGGAACCCTCTAATTTACAGCCTGAATGTGTTTCTTAGTATAATCCAATATAGTCTGCAGTTTAACATTCCTCTGTTGGCTGATGTTGACCCCTCTGCGTTCTGAGGGCCATTCAGCCTTTGCTTCGCACAAGCTAAGCCATGTCCATTACACTGCCTGTAAAGCAGGCAGCAAGTTTTGGTGACTCGAGCCCTGATTTTCCCTAGTAGCCTGGTTTCATGGCAGTAGTCCCTCAGGAGTGGAGCTCTCTGCTTCCCTGGTTAGGAGGCCATTGGTAAATCCATACCAAGGTTTATGTGGCTTAGAGTAGCACTGCTTCCCAGAAGGACATTTTTTACACTGCTTCTTTTCAGCACAAATTGCACTTGATTACAAAATGTTTACCCTTTTTTTTTCAACAATTACTATTTTTAGGTTGCATTACTGTCAAGATTTTTCTCCACAAAATATACTGATGCACCCTCAAGCTTAATATTTTGTGATTTCTTCAATTTTCAGACTCAGCTAGTTTGCCAATAGGCTGTCCAAATCAAGCAAAATCTAAAGGAGACTGATCCACAGGGAGAAGTTTGAGCTGATGCCACCCAGTACAGTAGGTCTCTGGCCAGGCAGCCACAGCCCAGACACCTGAGGCTGTGCCTGCTAGTTCCCATGGCCCTGCTCTTTCCATTTAGGGGCATTCTGAAGACCTAGCTGAAGAAATGGGCATCACCTTGGCCTGCTCTGGAGTGTAGCTCTGCTGTAAAGTCATCACTGTACAGTTGCTTGCTTTGATTTGCCATCTTAGAGCTAGGTGTCACGTGCTTTATCTCCTAAATTCCCTGTCAAGATACTCATAAAAGTTAAACAAAGTGGTAGACAGGCATCTGTCTGTCTCAAAGCCTCTGCAGAAAAAGGCTGAAACTACAGATTTTGTTTCACAGATGACAGAAATTGATATTAAGCCTTATTTCAACAATTAGCTACAGACTTCAAAGCAAATTGGTTTTGTCAGCAGAAATGGATGGATAGGTTTCATTTTGTTTGGTACAACCATAAATGGTTATAATGACAAAAACTGATTAAAAAAACCCAATTGTCTAGACTCACTCAAGTTTAGAGATTCTTTGTAAAGAAAGACTATAAACAACAAAAGAAACTGAATAAAATATTTCAAATTACTTTTTAAATATGTGAAGGATACAAAAACAGAAGGAAATGCATTACTTATAAAAAATCCACTGAAAACTGTACAGAAGTTGTTTTTTTTAAGTATCCTCAGTTACAGGTAGAACTTCATATTGCAATAACAGGGGAAAATTGAAATCTGTGTTTATTCTGCAGCTGTGTGCATTTGCAATGCTACTTACACTTCTATTTCACATGAATAGTCAATATTTTTCACTGCTGCTTTCTTGATTCTTTCACAATGCAGCAAGTAAAGAAATGATAGTATTCTCCCCCTCACAGCCCACAAGAGTAAAACTTGTAAGAACTGGCAGCAGTTAGACATGGTGATTAGTAACATTAGTCACAATCTTAATTTAAAAAAAAAATCACCTCTTTTAAGAAGGCCACACAAGTTCTTCCTATAACAATTGAAGTGTACATAATTAGTATTATAATCACTATTAGATCACTACCTGAAATTTTTAAAAACTCTTTAAATCTGAAAAATTGCAATAAACTTGCTACTAGAAGGTTTCTTCCCTCTGATCTCTCATAAACTGGGGTTTTCATATAGATGATGGGTTTGTTCAGTAATTGATTTTTCCCAGGTCATGATGTCTTTGAGGCCTTTCAGACAAGGGACAGAAAAATAAACAATCATGACTCCAGGCTAGTGCTCTCCTTCTCTAGAATCCTGCTAGTAGGGTATATGCTGGAAAGTCCATTCTTTATGGTTTTTATATTGGCTTTTATTTTTCTATGAAACCCTTTGATATTTGGGCTCTAAACTTTTTTTAAAAACCCATTCTCCTTATCAGAATTCGTACAACTGAAAATAAACATTTACGTATATAAAATCAGCTCAGTACAGGCACCTACATGGTGAAGCAGCTCTCTTTATGCCTTCTAGAGAATACTGCACTTAAGAAATGTCAGTTGTTCCACAAGGTTTAAAATACTCATGATTAAAATGACAGAAATGAATAAAGTAATCTGGCAAACAGTTTTGTTCCATTTCTGTTAACTATCTCTGACCGACAGTAATAACTAAAATTCAAAGACTTCATGCACTAACCATGCATTGTGCTGTGTGTTCTTTGAGAAGTCTTTGAGCCCAACATGTCAAAGACTATCCAACATTTCCTTGGAAACTTTGTGAGGATTATGCTACGAAAATATTTGTGCATTAGGGCTAGATGTCATGCTGTGCAGTTATACTGCTGCTACTTAAGAAATATCACAGTGACGTGAATGGTTACTCAAACTGCTGTACTGAAAAGAACAGATTTGGGAAAGTTGCTGCCTTGCTTATCGTTACAGATTAACAAGATTCTCACTTGAACTTGTAATTGTTTATTTAGGTAATACTCTACTTGTCCCTTCCTGGACCTTTGGTTACTCAATGATGGAATTTTACTGATTCACAGAACAGTTCGGAGTATAAATATCTTACCACCTTCAGCCTCATTTATAAAGGTGTTTGTGTTAGAGGCAGAAAGATATGTTTCTTTAGCCAGCTGATCATGTATACCAATAGGAAACACTCTGGATTTCTCCTCAGGAAAAATGTGACTCTGCTGGTCTACTTGGAAACCACTCTGGAATCCACAGAAAAAACCTCTGCTCACAGCTAGCAATGCTATGCTGGGCTAGGAAATCTTAAGACAAAACAAAGCTATATATAGCACATACACATTAATCTGTACAGACTACAACATTTACAGTAAGTGCTTCAAGACAGAGATTCATTTTATTCAGAGTGCCTACTGCAGTAGCTTTTAACACCTCCATCACCAGGGACCATTAGCTGTTAATAGAGGCTATGAATAACATAACTAAGAAAAACCATCATAATGAAAGCTGGCTTAAAACCACCACCATAAAACAGTCTGTACCTTCACTAGGAAATTTCAGGAATCCACAAGTCAAAAAATGTTGAGGTTCTCTCTGATTTACTACAATGGCATTCTTATTCATAAAATGCTATTAAAATAGAAAAAGTAACTCAACCTTCTAAGAAGAAACAAGGTTTTTGCAGATTTTTTTGAGTGTTCTGCTCTCACTTTACACAGATACATTTACCAAAACTTTCAACTAGCTAAACCACTTATTTTGCTAACCTTTGATTAGGTATTTTGCATGTAAGGGCTGAGGGCAAACCTGTTACTGCAAGAAAATTCAAGTTGCATTTTGGTCCATCTACAGAACATAAGACACTGGAGCCAGAACTTTCCTGAAGCTACCAAGAAAGCTGTTTGCTTAGAGAGAATTATGCTCTAAGTAGATATAGAGTAAAATTTGAAGGGACTTCAATTAATTTGCAAAAAGGCCTCTGTACCATTTTAATGGTCTAACAACTTGCTGGAAGCAACTACCTGTCTCATAGGTCTCACACAGTATTTGGTGTGACTAACCAGGTGGAGACTGCTATCAGAAAAGACAACTGCAGAAGCCAAGTGGGGAACTCAAGTTTCACACACATACGGGGAAAAAGATAAAGCTGATTTTCATTCATTTTGGAAGAAAGCTTCTGGTTTATTTCTGTCCTTATAATCAAGACTACAAGCAAACAAAAAGCAATGAGGAAAAAAAAATCACTTGCTGCTAGCCCTTTTTTCCTTTGTTCTACTGTCTGGCAGATACCAGAGGACCATCAGGGAAAATATCGAGCTTATTGGACATCTAAGCCAACCTGTGGATAGTTCAAACTTCACAATTGTAATGCAAAGCCAAGATTTGGCAAAGGAATAGTCAGCCTGTGTCGTGACACACATCACCCCAAAATCAATTGCACTGTGTGTCCTTGCATCCACAACGCACATCAGTGACGTTCCATTCCGTAGAACAACACCGTTCACACTGGCTGGGAGCTGGTGCCCTTTTCAAGTAGGTTATCTTTTAGCAGGATGTTTAAGAGGCCAAATTTCACCACTTGCTTACCTGTAAAACCTGCTCACCAGAACTTCACTGGTGAATCCCATTCCTCCCCAAAACTGGAGACAGCTGTCAGTCACTTCACGGGCCAGACGTCCTGCCTTTAGCTTAGCCATGGAAGCATATTTTGTCACGTCATTTCCTTCTACATACAGAGCTAATAAAAAAAAGAGGATAAAAAAGGAGTCACTGGCCACAGCCTGCCTCTCTGGAAAGCACCTCCCTGTGTTGCTTTAGCCTGACGAGGTTCTTTGCATGAAGAGAAGCACATCTGGGAAGGCAGATGTGGGAGCTCACCAACAGCACGGTGCAGCAGCGAGCGAAGGAGCTCCACTTCGGTTGCCAGCTCGGCCAGGCGGAAGTGCACGGTTTGGTTGTGCAGGACAGACTGGTCAAACACCTTCCGCTGGCGGGTGTAGTCAACAGTTTCTTGTATTATAGTTTCCAGTGGTGTCAGGACTTGAAGAAGCAAAGCATAGAACAAGACACGGTTTTAGCCAGATCTGTTGTTTAGCTTCTTGTTGAAAAAGATGTTTTTCTCACATTGTATAACCAATACATAAGGTTTTCTAAAGCAAGTTGTTCTACACACTTAGTTGGGGTACAACTTCAATTCTGAAAAAAGCCCTCCTTGTACCTTAAAGACATCTATCTCACCTGAGCCCCAAACTGCCAAAACTTGGAGGAGAATCAAGAGAGGTGGATAGAAGGGAAGGAAAGTCATAGAAAGCAGTACATCATGATGAGTATGTAAACTTTATCCTTAATGCCTCATTTGGGGCCTTAGCAAAAGCCTGTGGTAACTCCTACTTTCCATTCTGCCCGTGTCCTGAGGGTTTGTTACAATCCCTGAAAAAATCTGAAGGCAGACAGTGTAGTGTGCTCAGTGAGGGATGCTGTAGAAATGTAAATTGCAGGAAGCTTTCAGGGAGAAGGCAGAAACCTATTCCAAGATCAAGGAACACAAATTTACTGCTTATTATATCTGCATTCTGTAATTGGATTCCAGCATAGAAATGAAGGGAAAAGATTCACAGCCACTTTTAATAAATGTTAAATAGTTCTTCTAATGGGAACAGAATCAAAATAGGATACTGCTGGAAAACAGGTTAGAGAGATGGCAGACGCTGCTTTAAAGCAAGAGAACTAGTTTGCTGCTTCTCTTTGCACAAACTGAAAGACACCCCATTTTAAACAAGAAGAAAAGGGAGAAGTTTCTTTTCCAAGGCCAGCCTTGAAGTGAAGGACTAGGCTATCAGTCTCTTGCAGCTTAGCTAGGATAAGAGCAGGTGCTGAATATGTGGAGAAATTTGTTTGGCAAATGTGGGCCCATGTCCCTATGGCAAGGAGCAGTGACAGTTCACAAATCCATCAGTGTAAGAAGGGTCACATTTTCTCTTTTCAAAATATGCATATCCACCTCAATTTACATTTAGAGTCTAAACCACAAAACTCTGAATCTGAAATGCAAAATAGAACCGAGCCCTGGACTACTACAAAATCCCTTTTCCTACCTGTCAGTTACTCACATGAGAGTCCCTTACAGGAGCCTGATGTGGCTGATATTCCTTTTTGCATTGCTTTCAAGATCACCTCTATTTAAATTTCATCTCTGTTCTGCTCTCATATGCAGACTCCACATCCCACCAATTTCCTCGTGCCATGATCATTTACCAGCTCTTCCACAGAGCACCATTTTTCACGTGATGTCCCCACACTCCATAATCATCAGCTTTTGTCATTTCCTAAGTATTTTCCCTTTCTTTCTCATACAACTAGCTTCAATGCTTATTTTTCAAAAGAGCATATACAGTAATGTCCTCATTTCTTCTGTGTTATTACACTATGCTGCCACACTAATGCTGGTTTTCTGGACAGGAAACTAAATTTCTGTTTTCAGGAACATCTCTTGAACAGAAATATTGTTATTCCAAAGGATTATGTCACACAACACTGTGGTATGTATAATACCAACAGCTTTTTCACTTGTATTTCTATGGTCTCCAGCTTGAGAGATGCTAAAGAAACACGAAGGGGTGTCCAGGTACCCCTTGTCCCCTGCCCCCAGACCAAAACCTGGGAAGCATACAGCTGAGTCTGAGCTGCTGGGAGGGAAACTAAACTGTACGTGCCTGTGCTAGGAGAGCAGAAGGAAGGCGGTAGGGATAAGGACAATCTTTAGTTGATCTGTCAGAGCAAGGTGCTTAGCACAGCTTGTGTGGTTCCCAGCATCCAGCACCAGGGAAAGAGGAGATGGGAAACAATAAAGAGGAGGAAGGAGCAGGACCAGATGGGAGGGAACAGAACAACAACTGTTTAGGTCCTGCTTGCAAAAGGTCTGAAGATCATGAAGGGGCTTTGGCCCATCTCTGCTCAGGCTGTCACCATGCATCATGGCTCAGAGCAGGGTCCTGAGAAGACTGCACCCATAGTGTCCATCTCTCCACTTCACTGCCTCCTTCCTGCCCCTTTTGATCCAACCTCCTATTTCCTTAGCTGCCCTTCTGCTTTTTCCAGGAACTACCATTTGCACACAGAAATAAACAGAGAAAATCTTCTTAGGACTGCCCTGGGTTGCATCAAAAGCAGCATGGCCACCAGGTCAAGGGAGGTGATTCTCCTCCTCTACTCCATTCTTCCAAGACCCCACCCGCATCCAGAGCTGGAGCCCACAGTACAAAGCAGACACTAAGCAGGTCCAAAGGAGATTAAAGGGATGGAGCATTTCTCCCATGAGAACAGGCTGAGAGAGTAGGGGTTGTTCAGCCTGGAGCAGTGAAGGCTCTGGGGAGACCTTATTGCAGCCTTTCCATATATAAAGGGAGCTTGCAAGAAAGATTGTGACTTTTTACCAGAAGTAGTGACAGAATAATGGGCACTGGTTTTAAAATGAAAGAGAGTAAATTTAGACTGAACATAGGAAGAATGGTACTGGGGTAGGAACTAGATGATCTTTAAGGTCCCTTCCAACCCAAGCCATTCTATCATTCTATGAGTCTAAGAAATCCTTATGATGAAAGTGGTGAACAGGTTGCCCAGAGAAATTGTGGATGTCCCATCTCATCAAGGAGGTTGGATGAGGCTCTGAGCAACCTGGTCTAGTGCAAGATGTTAGACTTGATGGTCTTTAAAGGTCCCTTCCAACACAAACTATTCTGTGAGGATATGACTACAGGTATTTAGAGCTATGAACAGAGCTCTAACATGGCAAGGTCTAGCTGTGCAGCAAACAGCAATGAAATGCAGCAGGTCATAAATACCACGATGGCCAACAGCCTTGTGCAACATAACAGCACACAATACTTTGCCGGTCATACCAGTACAGAGAAATGCCATTCACAACACTGAAACCCATTTTCCCTAAGAATTTTTTCCCCCATACATTTTTTTCCATTTTTCATCATAAAGCGTTCTCTACATCATCAGACAAATGTAGCCCCATGGGTTTCACCTGACAGCATATGCAGGAAATCTCACTCTAGGGCAGCCTAAGGCATGTAGGATCTACCACACAGCTGAGAATTGTGAAAGCACTTGGAAGTTGCCAAATGCAGAATAATCTTTTCCTCATACCTCCATCCAACTTATATTTTTCCACTTGAAACTTCTTCTCAATGTAAAGATGCTTTGCTTTGCTATGTTTCCTCTCAAAAGAAAAGGAAATAGATATATTTTTCTTAGGTTGTGGCTGTAGTGAAACGTCCAGTGAGCTCTTAAGCTGAGCAATCTGTCTCTTAAGGACATGTGTTGCCCATGCAAAAGGACCTGTCATCCTGGTTACTGGCCATGACTCAATGGTGCTCGTAAAATTGAGATTGCAGGAGCAGATAGAAGTAATTAGAAAAGTGCCATTCTGCTCTCTCACGGACACTGAGACACCCTCTTTGTCTCCAAGTTAAGCAATTCACAGAACAACTGTTTGCTTTCTTGTCATAGCAACATTCTTTTCCTGTGATCAGTGCAACAGGTCCTCAAATGGACAGTATTTACTGAGTGTCACAACATGGCAGACACATGTGGCAGCTCTTCTCTTTCCATGAGGCAAGAAACACAGCGACTTTGACCAATGTCTTTGATAATGTGTCACTCAGAAGGAAAGACCACACCTAGAACCAAATTTTGCGATTCCAGGAAGTTAGTTTTCCATCTGTATTTTAAATCTATTCGACCAAAAATACATTTTAAAAGAAAAAAATCAGTGAAGAAGGAAACTGGCCACAAAGAATATAATTAATAAAAAGAAGGCTGGGGCACATGGTACTTGAAACTAAAAATACATAAAAAACAACCAACCAAACCAAAAAACCCCACCCACAACAACAAAGAAAAACCAAACACAACAAAACTACACCCAAAAACGAAAGGTAGACAAGAATGGTGATCAACTGCCTTCTCCAAGTTTTAGGAAGCAGTGAAAGTGAGGATGCCAGGACTGATCTGGAAAGTGTTTAAAAGCAGACTGACAATTTTCAGTGTTTCATGAATAGTCATGAACTGGGAAGGAATGGAAACATCATTCTGAGGGGAAGAAGCGACAATGAGGATTAAACATGTAGACCTAATCACAAAATTACTGAAGGCACGTACATTGTTTTGCACATCTGAGAGCCTTCAGCGAAACACTCGTGGTTGGACATAGGTAAAACTATTTGCAGGAGTGGAAGTTAACAGCTAGATGTTGTGGTGTAACAAATCTCACTGATCAAATATTGGGCTCCCTTCTAAACAAGGGTTTCTAGTTTACCACAAATGGTTGCCCCCAAAGTTTGGAACTCTGCCTAAACCATAGGTCTTGTCCCTGCTCCCAGTGCTTTCATGCATTTTATATCAGAGAGTGGATAAAAGCAAAAGCAGGGGGCTCAGCAAGGTATAACACAGTAGCCAGCACACTGCAGGAGGCAGATCCCTCTCTCTTGGTGAGCTCCAGGGCTCTTCCTCCCTGATGGCCTCTCCCTGGCCTTCCCAGGCTGCTCATCCAAGGTAAGGGTTCACTTGCTTCCACTGGGTTGTTCTAGGGAAAAAGAAGAATTGAAATCTTGTGTCCCATTTCCTGGCAGAGCACGGTGACTGCCAGGCAGTTGTGCAAGGCTGGACAGTACCAAGCTGTCAGTGTTTTTAACAGGAGTGATCTAACCTGCCAGGCTTTGTGTGTCAACGCTGTTAGTGTGCATCACTTTTGCCTGGGGCATGACTAATGCTGCGAGCTACTCTGCTGCCTGGGGAGACTCACTGCAACTCAGAGCTTCTGATGGTTTGTTTAATTTAGACTTCAAACCAAGCATAAAAATGCACAATGCACATCCTCGCAGCCTGCGTACTCCTTGATTAAAACAGGACCAGTGGTAGGATCACATCTCTGGCTTGCCTGAGCCTGCAGTGACATCCCCTGCAAGTGTAACCTCCAGTCCTTTGCTAAAACTACTCTCAGGCTTCCTATTTATCTCAGGCTCTCAAACCAAAGATTTTTGTTTTAAAGCATTTGAACTCCAAAATATTTGGTCTGGGATCAACTCAAAACAGAGAGTCATTTTTTATTTGCTCACTGAATCAAAACACCACTTCTTAGTATTCCAAATTCCCCAGCCACACACAGACAGTAGAGACAGGGAATGCGTAAGAGCACGAATACAGTGACATGATTAAGACAACCCCGAAATTTAAAGAGGGCCAATTTTCTTACCGTGAACCACATTATATTTAACTTCAAGAAGCAAACACTGGTGGATAGGGGGAAAGTTTGGAGGTTGAAAATGGACCATCCGCACTTGGATCTGGTTTTCTGGAATATCCACAAGCCATACAGCTCAAGTACATGGATTTGAGTACTGCCTGAGTTCTGAGTAACAGAAACTCTGAAAACATAATTTCAGGGAAAGGAATTTGGTGCTGTACCAATTTGGTGCTGTACAGAGGTAAAACAGATCTGCAAAAACAAAGCTCTGGCATCCTGTAAGAGACACTTCTTTACACAGCCAGTAAGTTAAATTTCTAAAATCCAGGATAAATATCATAATTTACTGTACTACAGGAGAAGTCAACGTCCTTCTATTTCATGCCAGTATTTTGTTAGCCTTTGCACTATATTTGTAGCAAACATAACAGGATGCCATATTTTCTTATCAGCAGAGAAGCACCAAGAGAAGGAAACAAAACAGCCTCTGTGATGCCTCACAAAATGCTTTCTATTTCAGGTTTTTCTAGAGAAATTGAAGGTTGTCTGTATCTAGGCTATGACAGATTTCAAAAACAGGTCGTAAAATATCATTGCAGCTTACAAGAAAAGGAAAGTGCTGTTAGTCATGCTAAGAGTGACCCTTGTGTCCCTCCCCAGCCGCAGAAGCGCAAATGATGACTTACCAGTGGCTACTCCCCACAGCCGCTCTTCTTGGAATTGCAACATCTGATATGTAAAACCCTTTCCTTCCTCACCGATGAGGTTTTTGCTGGGGACCTTTACATTTTCAAAAAAGATCTGAGCTGTATCCGATGATCTCATGCCCAGTTTGTCTATCTTTTTAGCAACGTGAATGCCTAAAGAAAAAGGGGTATTAGAAAGGCCTCAAAAAATGAAAGCACTATGAACAAGTACAGCGTTTTCAGAAAGAAAAGTCTGCAGATGTGAAGGTACGTTCCAAGACTACAGTGAAACCTACCTTTAGGAAAAACCCAACAGTATTCTGGAGTAAAATGGTCCAAATCCCCTTTCGAAGACTTTTTCCATTTTATTTAACCAGCAAATCAAAAACTTGAATTGTAAAGGTCCCACTTTTCATTATGTCCCCAAATAATAAATGTTTACTAGTCATAATAATCTCACTTCAGGCACATATCCAAACAATGCATTATTTATTTGCTTATGTTTGATTTTTATCTAGCATTGTAATATAGTGCTGGAATTCAATCTGGCAGTATTTGCTGAGTGCCTGCACTGCTGTGAAACAGTAGAGAAATATTCAATAATGACAAAAATAGAGCTATGTTTTAAGGTGCAACTAGAGAATTTCTCCCTCTGGAAATCCTCTTCCTTCCCTCTCTTCCTCATTTGTTCTCCCCTTTCTATCCCACCCTGATTTTTTCTGGAACAGTGATCATTATTCATTCCTCTGATTTTTCATGTGGACGTGTTTGTGGGAGGGTTTGCTTCCACAGAGACCTCCCTACACTGCACTGATTCTGACCCCACATGCAATGGTCTGTTGAAGATGAACCCATTTCCTTCAGGTCTGTCTATGTAAGAGTTCAGCTATCCCATCACACCAGGCAGAACTCCTTCCTGTTGTTTGTTTTTTCATAGCTTCAAGCTCTTTCTTCCTATTGTTCAGACGTCAGCATGGCTTATACCACTGTGCCATGAGAGTTTAACAGGCATCTACTGTTTTCTTGTGGCAATTCCATTGCCTTCAGGTTTTACCTTCCTGTTTCTCTGAGGCTAATGCAATTATTCAGGATGAAAGCCAAGAATGGTTCAAAGGTAAAAGAAGGACAGCAACCAGGCACGAAATATCAAGCAAAACCTGCTAATTTACAACTGCCAAGTCAATACGTAGAAAAACTGTCTTCCAAATCAACATGTGTATCTTTGCAGAAAACCAAGCCTTTTTGCTATCCACATACATAGTATTCTAATTAGTTTTGTGATGAGGAGGTATTCTGTTAATATTTTTCTCTTTATTCTATCTTTTTCAATCCTCTACTACTCTCTAACATGGCTCAGTAGGAGCTGGTCACCACACAGATTGTTGTGGTCCCTCTGTACTGGTTTGTACCTTGCTATCCTTCCTGGATTTCAGAGAACATCTATTTTGAACTAATGTAGACATCTCAACTTCTACTCATAAGAGGCTTTCAGCCGTGTGAAAATCACTTTGGTTTTGCAGGCAGAAGAAGTTGGCAGTCATTTCCTTCAAATTCACTCTCTGGCTGCACTGAATAAGGTTGTGGAAAGTTTCATCTCTTCACAGAGATGAAATACTGACAGTATTTCCAAATGCCAAGACTGCTCTCAGAATAAGGTCCACATAGACATCCACAATTTTCACTCAAGATTTTCCCCTGCCAACCAATCTGTAAACAGATTATGAGTTAGGAATACTTGCTTTGATATGTGTTCAATGTGGGAAGAAAATCAGGACAGCTGTAAAAAAATTCTTGACTCTTGAATTGAAAATTATCCAGCAATTTGCACCCAGTCAGCCAAAAAAGCATTTATGGTTTGTTTCTGTATTAAAATCAGAGCTAAACAACCACATACTGAGCCATTTACAGGCCCAAATGATTTCTGGAACATTGTTTCCCATTGGAATATTACTACTTGGTTTCTTTGAGAGTCTCAAAGATCATGTCTTTGGTCTAAAGCCAGCTGGTTTTATGTAATCACTGTTCCTCACTCGTACGAACATGCACTTACTGCTCTTGTTAGTGGGTGGTTTACTGAGGTCTCTTCTGGAAAAAGCACAACTGCTGCCAGTTCTTATATTACTAAATCAATCCTGTTGTTTTCTTCCCAGATCCACATACAACAACAACTGTTGAGGAGAGCTCTAACAGGTTTGGTTGAACTAGCTAAATGTGCTAATAATTTCTATTTGTAATTCTTCCAGATTGGGTTGTGTGTTCAAGTTTCATGAATCCAGCAGTATCTTCCTTTGTCATACCCCACCAGTTTCACTTGCTCTTAGATTAATTCATGTTTCTCTCACAGAAGGAGGCCAAACTGCATCAGCCTCCTATAATACTCCTTCTGTTGCTAGCACAGGCTTTACATTTTGGAAGACAGTGATACATAATTATCTCTTTGGCCAACATATGGACATAAAAATCTTCCTTTACTTCATTTAATTATCTTCCTTCTCTTCATAAGGGGTACTATAAATGAAAAATTACCAGCAGCAGTACATGCCCAGATAACTCCTGGAATTTGTCTGTATTAAATAAATCACATACAATAACAAAAAAATCTTTATTTATTAAGGCCAAGTGCTCGACTTACTAAAAGCATTCTAACAGAGCTATTTATGTTTCTTGCACCAGTATCACTGAGATGGATTGCTCTATTTCTTCCTGGGAAGTTCTTCCCAGACATCTTTGATTTTTCATTTTCTCCCACTCCTCAAGCCACCTGACAATCTCTTTTATTTCCTATATTCTATCTCACGAGAAAGGCAGTTGCTCTCTCCTAACACCATTTAGTGCCATTACAAATGGAAACAGACATGTCTGAAATTGCAACCTGAGAAACGTGCTCTTTTCCTTCTCCTGGATGCTTTTCTCTTTATTAACTCCTCCTTGCAACCTACTCTAGTGCTATCTGAGGGCTCAGAGGACAAATACTTACCAGATTAGAGCTACAAGCCATTTGTCTATATACCTTACACACAGACATTTTACAACTTGTTAGATTATTTTTCCTCCTATGAAAAATTCAGCTTTTTTTTTTAAAGAAACTGTAAGTATGAGGACTATTCACCTAATTTGGATATCTACTGGGCATCCACACTGCTGCTACTGAAATTCCCTTTATGAGAAATGCATTCAGCAGTCTCTGTCAAACTAGACCATGATTTGCTTCACCTCAGAATAGACAGTGTATACATCTAAAATTAGACAAAGCAAACCCTACTTCATATCTCCAATGAACTATCAATTGCTGAAATTAATAATTTGCTTTCAGACTTGAAACTTTTTTCTCTTTTGTTCCCCCACCACATCATAGAAGTATGAAATTATTTAGATTTTCATGAAAAATGATGGATCATTCATTACCCAGACATATAGGCTGGTGACTGCAGCAGTGAGTCAGACATTTGCCCTCCATTGCAGCTGTTCTGGAGCTTTGACACACATACATCCACAGACGTTTGAAAGTGCATCATTCGGTGATATCCTCCAGACACTTCCTGTAAGTCTTGGTCTGCTGCCCTCCACAGAGTACAATCTTTGGCCAACAGACATCCTTAGGATGTATCAAAACAGATGGAGCTTCCTGAAAAACCTCACTGATACGACTCACCACTGAGCACAATCAGCTGTCTCAATACTTCATTTCAAAAGATCACCAATCTTGGTAGAGTGACCCTTTTGTAGAAAAATGTCTATATCACACATTAGAATTAAAATATACACTTTGAGGAGTGCAATTTTTGTTTCTAGGAAGATTTCTACGCTTCCTGCAGATCAGCTTCAATCAGGCAATCTTTCTACTCTAAATCTATTTAATGCAGGTAAAGAAGGTCTGCTTTGTGGCTGTGAGATCTAAAAACTTCCCCTTCCTAAAGTTAGAACAATTCATGTGTCTTTTTGGAATAGGTAAAGTAGCTGAAAACCTGTAAATCAATTTCTGCATATTTGATTTGCCACTGACAGTGGGTCAGCTGCTTTGCTGTTTTAGGGAGACTGATCTGAGAGTAGTAGTATTGCATCTGCATTCTGACCCTTTCATGAAAAATCACAAGAAGGACTTCATTCACTTAGCAGCAGCCAAATCTGATAAGTGAATTTACCTGGAAATTCAGGGAGATTCTGGCTCTGAGTTATATGTTCACTGATCATTTATCGGTAAGGACAGTCTACAACTAGTGAAGCAGTTCAGGTCCGTCTCCTGTGAGCTCCCATTCAAAGCCTGTCCCAAATGAGCAGAGGTTGTAGAAACACAACCCACTCAGAACTTGCTTAATTCCCAGGGCAACTCACTTGCTCGACTTACTCCATACTGAAATTCACTTAAAAGACATTCCCTTAGGAAGCTCTCATCATTCTCTTTTGCAACACTGGAGACCTGGGTTTTGTTCTCAGTCGAATCTGAACATATCACATTCACATCACTGCCGTGGTGGTGTTCCTACATGTGAAATACCCGTAATGCCAATAATGACATATATTTTGTATGTAAAATACTCTGAACTGAATTAACAAAAATGCCATAAGCTTAAATATTTTCTATGTAAAATAATATACATTATTCAATATTAAAACAACATTAAATTTTAAATTATGTATTAAATATATTGTATATTACATAAATTAATACATTGCATATTTTAAATATTAAAATGAATGACTACCAAAAAGATTTTAAAACTTTTGAACAGGTGTCAAACTGCAAAAGATCCCCACTACTACAACCTTAAGTGCATCCTCTGAATAATGTCCTTCATGCATACAGCATATTATGTCTGCAAGGTCTGCAGACTACTCAGGAACAGACACTGTGGAGTGTACCACTGAAACTTGTACCCATGGATCAGGATGTGTTTCTTCCACATCTTCACCCAAATTATTAGTCTTCTTCAAAACCAAATCCCTACTTCCAAGATATTTGAATCTTTTGCTCCAGCCCACGTTTAACTCACAGGCTGTTTTTGTAATTTAGACTGATAGTGCCCTGGCAAAAAGATCCCTTTGCACAGCACAGCCATGAAGCACTCAGTATGCCTGCACTTCTTTTCAGCAAGCCCATCAGGCTGGGTGGTGGAGGATGGTCATTGGAGGAAGATCAGGACCACCCACATAGCACAGCATTGCATCCTTCTAGCATTTAATCCAACTGGTCAGTAAACCCACCCCAACAGCATCAGATCTTCTAATGGGTTCCTGGGAGGAAGGTAATGGCGTATGGGATTAGAACTATTTTGAGAGGTATTTCCCAAGTTTGAAATCTTTAAATTCTTTATCCTTCTATTTTCATATGGTTATTAAGTATTCCCATGCAAACATATCTTAAAAGCATCTATAAATTCATTGGTGGTGAAAAGGGTTCTCCATGTAAAATTATTTGGGAGTCACAAGCTGAAGTCTGCAAAATATTTAAATTTCTTCCCCTTTCTATTTTTTCATAGAAGTGCGCAAATGCAATTCAGTATCAAATTTGTAGGACACCTAACTTAGAATAACATTTATGGGTGCAGTCAAACACCTGTCAAACACCTTTCCTTCTTGTATTAGGCATATAAAAAAACACCAATAAAATCTAATTAGATGTGTTATTACCAGGTAGATTCATTGGCAGACATATGAGAGATTTGTTTCGATGGGGAGGTCCTTCACTGGTGTTTGCCAGCAGGCACATCCAGTCTGCTTGGCTCCCAGACGTAATCCACATCTTACCGCCATTTATGACATATTCATCACCTTTTCTCACAGCTGTTGTCTTGATATCTATTTCAAAACATAGGAAATGAAGGGTTATTCCTGTGAAGGGAAGATAAGTTGGTCCCTATACAACTGGCAGAGTCACTCTCTTGCTCTGACAGACAACTAATATTTGGTTCTCCCTCGTACCTCCCAAGTCCTCTAACCATTCCAGGCACAAGGTAAACCAGTATGGACAACTCTTAGAAGACAATCCAGGGAAACAGGACCACTACTCTTACCCTCCTTTAGGTGGAGTCTTCATCCCAGTGGATGAAAGCAGAAAACTCCCTAAGTAAATGTGGTGGTCAAAAACTTGGGACAGAAACATTCCACTCTGAGGTGATCTATTAGTGGTTCTGTGCACATTAGTCACTGAGGAGGCCTTTAATTTCAGAGACCTGACTTAAACATGTCTCAACACCCGTGTATGAATAAAGATATATCTACATGCACTTCCTGCATGTTCTTGGTCAGAATGGTGCAATAAGTTCAAAGCTGGTTAATTATCAAAAGGCTAAGTCTAAATGCTATGAATGGCTGTACACGATGGAGTTCTAAACACCTATTATTTATAGCCACTGGCAAAAAATTATTTTCTTCCGTGTGTTTGCACAGCCCTGGCTGCAACAGACAGCCAGAGTGAATCATTAGTTATTATTTACACTTCAGCAGAATTTCCAAAGAACTGGCTTTTTTCCCCTGCAATTGAACTTCTTCAACTAGAACCCCATCTGAGGAAGACTCTCCAATATATCCAGCTATAAATTGGGGATGTATAAGAGAACCCCACCATACCCCTAATAGCATCTGTAAATCTAACGAGACTATAAAGTCTGTAAGAGCCCACCTACTGAGGGGGACTGTAGATTTGGAGAGTGGGAGTCAGAGAGCAAAGTGGAAGCGCATTTGAGTCATCTGGTTATACTTTCATACACACTCAATCTGCACATGAATGTTCTTCCAAAGGCTCTAAATACAAACCAAAAGCAAAACCAAGTATCCGATCTTCATTTACAAGACAAACTAGGACTGAGGTAAGCATAGCTGAAAAATAGTCTTGTTAATGAAGGAACAGGGGAAAAATGATGGGAAAAAATTGTATAAGGTATAAAACAAAGGAGTATGGGATATAGCTACAGCTAAAGGAATGTACAAGCAGATAATGATGAACAGCAAAGAGATAGTACTAATGTGAATAAAAACAGCAGCCATAGAGCTATTCAGTCTGTGAAAGGACTATGCCAAATCTGTCCAAGGGACTTGATATGAAATCTGTATAATAATGAAGTCCAAGAAAGTGAAGGAATCTAAAGTACTGACGCTCATAATACATGGACACAGACACTGGACAATCATATACATGGAGACTAAATAACAAGCGAAGGACATAAAGAGCTGGAAAAAAAAATACAACTATACTGAAATAGTGTTACAGGGATGGCAGCATACACAGCAATTTGCATCACACACGTCTTTGTTGTGGAACAGCTACTGAAGAGATTAGATAGAGGTTCCATGGAAGGTCTGCAGAGGAATAATGAGCACTGTGATGTTACCACAAATGTAAATAGTTCTTGCAAGCATGGCGTCACAGGCTGCTAGTCACCCAAATACAGATTAAAGAACAAATGCCTTACTAATGAGAATGTTCAAGTACTCTCAGATTCAATGGTTGACATTTTACTTCAAACACTTGAGAAACAACTATTAAAAATGAACATATGAAGAGTTGATTCTTTTTAATTAGAGGAAAGATGATCAAGTCAATATGTTTTATGTTTAAAATACAGCAGGCTTTGAAAACCTACTTAACAACTTACTAAAGTCAAGTGGACTCAGTCTCAGGGATATGGTTATGAAGATAATTTGGAATGTTTGACTAACTATTCTCCCTGATAGAGCATAGCTCTGGGAAAAACCTACTTCAGTGAATAATTCATTTTTGCAAGCCCACACCACTGACTTTCTAGATTTTCTAACTCAACAACTTACAGAGCATGCTGTAAGAACCCCTTCTATGAAAGAGCACAAGGCATTACTGAAAGGCATATGATACAGTTAGTGCCATATAAGCAATCAGGGCTGGTCACTTCACTACTCAAATCACATATACTCGAGCCTCAATTTTCTTTTCCACTGTTCTCTTGAGTCCAGCCATGCTCTAAATAGATTTGACTACAGGCAAGGTTGGCTCCAACTTTTAAGGTTAATGTTACTATCAAAGATAAGCAACATATATTCTCAAAGTAAAATACGAAGGACACATATCTGGAATTTGCATCATTAGCAAAGGAAAAAAAATCCAAACTTTAAAGAAATACCTTCAAGTCTAACTGAATGAATAATCACTTCAAAAAAACATGAGATGCCTGCAGGAAAGGAACAATTAATCATCAAAGTAAGCTACAGTTTGGAGGTCAGAAATAAGAACCGTGACAAGTCAAACAAAGTTAAATCTTTTAGATGAGAACTAACAAAATCAAAGAAGATTGAGGTGGCAAACAAAACTCTTTTAGCCACAGAAATAAAAAGTGAATGGGAAAAAAATGAGGCATATAGAAGACACCTCAAAAAGTAAATATTCCACAGGAAATTACAGAGAGATTCACAATATAGATGACAAACTAAAACAGCTACAGGAAGGACTGTACAGAAATTGAAATTAGTGTAAAGAGAGGTTGTTGGTTTTGGCAATCTGTGCAGCCTCAGAATACATTTGTAAAGAAAAGATAATTCAATTCTTCTGTGATATCTTGCTTAAACTCACCTGATTTATTATGAAAAGGGATTTTCTACAGAAGAGCAGAACATGAAAAATCCTGTTAGACCACTTAAGCTAAAATTGACACTTCTAGGTAACTATGAATTAAAATTTGAAAAGAATTAGGAAAAAAGTGGAAATGTGTGTAAGGACCTAGTCAAAAGAGGAAAGTGCATCAGATTACATTAAAAGAGGAAGTGCTGATGTGCAGGGAGGGCACTGTTTGAGGTCCTCATTGAATATGAGCCTTTGGACAAAACTTATTGAATATTTCCATTAATGATCTTTAAAAGGATAGGAATACACTAAAGAAATTTGCAGGTGACACAGACCTGGGAAACATTATCAACACAGACAACTGAGATATTGCCTAGCAAGAAAGGAAAGATCTTTTTTCAAATTCAACATGGTAAGTACAAGTACCTTGACCCAGAAAAACAGAAGGACTGGATTCCACTGAGACAAAATGGGGCAAGATATCTATGTTAAAGAGGTAGATATGAACAGCCTTATTAGGTACAGTTGCCTGGAAGACAGAACTTGAAGAAAGAGGAAGTGTCTTCCATGCTGTGTTCTTACATATCCCCCACAGATAATCCACAAAACATTCTATAAATTGTGGAATAGTAGTGAGATAGAATGAGACAAAATCATTAAAACTAACACAAATGTGTATAATATGTGGTACCAAGAATCCTGAAATTAAAGACATATTCCATACCAACTGTACTGTACCGTTCTTCTTCTCAAGCCAAATCTGTACCAGATTTGTTGCACATAGTCATTGTACTGTGTATATTGTATTATGTACAATATACAGCAACTAAATTTGAAAGCAGACAGGTGTTTCTTCAAATTGACATGAATTTTGTATTAGACTAATGGTCACAGTATTTTTTGTTCTGATGAATTTTGGATAAATTAGTTTAAGGCACATTTCAGTTCTCATGTAGATAAACACTTCCTTTTTCTTCCGTGTTCATATCACTGGCAGCAGAAAATGCTAGAGATACCTTCCTCTGTGTCATTATTAAGTATAAAATATACCAGCTCACAGAGCAGAAGCAGGTCCCCCACTCACTATGTCCCTCCACTTATCTGAGGGAGACAAACATCCTAAGAGCATAAGGAACCAAAGCAAGTACCACGAGCTGCTTCACACAGCTCAGTCTGCTTTAGAGCTGGACCACCTGAAGATGGTATATTCTCTACCTTGTGCAAAACAGTGCTACTCAGAACACAAGCTAGTGCTGCTCATTACTAAGTTGTCCATTAAATTATTCTTTGGAAGCACTGTAAGTTATTTCTGAATTTATACCAGCAATCGGATCTTCCATGACAGGTTAGAAAGCATTGCCATTTCACCCTGCAGTCTGCCTTCAAGCTGCAGCATAGGTTCATCAGATAATCCTAGTTGATTCCAAATTTGTTTGTAATTGCATTAATTCAGGTATATCATACCAATTAAACTGGATGATAAACAACAAGAATATTTATGTTACTTATTATCTGGAACACTGCATCAAACAAATTATATTCATAGTTAGAAATTTCTGATAATCACCTAATTAAACTAGAGAGGCATTCATTAAAATAAATTATGTTGTATTTCCTACATTAGCAAAATTCAAATTTCTTATTGTTTTAATGAAAAACAAGTCTATAAAAATTATGGAATTTTTCTTATGAACAAATTCAATTAACTAGAAAGGAAAACAGCAATGATCATTTAGTCCCATTATGTCATTATCCCCATTAACTCTCTTGAAATCTACCTGCTGCACCACTGCTCAAGCACTGGAAAATTATCTATTTGTCTTGAGACAACGACATGAGTTGGGTCAAGGAGATAGACATAGGACTCCTCTGATCAAGAAACTTCTGTCAAACTCAGCAAGTTTGTCTACAGGCAGACATTGTCTCAGGAATGTTTAAGAGCACAATATGTTCAAATTAACCATGCTCTGTTCAATAAGTAAGCCTCTAAAAGTGGTTTCTTATCAATCCCTTTTCCTTGAAGCCCATGATTCATTGTCAGAAGAGACGTCTTTCACGTCTTCTACAACGTGTTTTAATTTAATTCTTCAAATTTTCTACTGCCTCAGGCACTTCAGAATTAAAGTTTCATTTGTCCATATTTTCAAACATATTCTTGCACTAAAACAAGAAAAAAAGATGCATGCGAAGTAACTAAATCACAAAGCTAATAGATCTGACATGCCAAATTCTTCATTAGCTCTAAATAAAATAATCACCAATTCAGAGATATTTTTGTTTCTCAGGAATGACAGAAGGGGCTGTGGTGAATTAAGGATGAGCGAGAGGAACCCATTGTGAAAGTGATGCCATCACTTTCAGAACAGAGTGGCTCCACAGTTTGCCCACATTTAATGGAGAGGTCTGTTTTAAGGCAGTGCAAGTTTTAGTACAGTTGAACAGCTCATGTTACCTGTCATGTACAAGTGCAAATTTGCATACCTGACAGTGGCTGTGCAACTAACACGGTGCTGGAGCGCTCTGGCCAGGGGTGAGCCCGGACAGACCAGGGGAGGCAGCAGCAGGACAACACTAGGAGAAAACTGGGGCCAGCACAACAGCTGCATTTAGCCTAGCCAAGGTTATATCTATTGATTCACCTGACAAATACATTAAATTTAATTGATTTTGGATGCATCAGAAGCATGTGTTACCGCTCCTGGAATATTACTTTTTGCCCTCACCACACCAGACTTTCTATCCTTTGTGTTTCTTACAAATGATAGTGGCAAACAGAAGGATCAGGTAAACACGACTTTTTCTATTAAAATAACAGGCTGTCTAAAGTTGTCAGTTTGCTAGGTTAACTTACTTGCAACATCAGATCCAGCTCCAGGTTCACTGATTCCCAAGCAAGCCACAAAATCACCAGCTATAGTTGGTGCAAGGAACTGTTTTTTCAACTCATCAGAACCAAACCTGCAATAATATAATGAAAAAGATAGGATCTTAAAAGCTTTTGAAGGTGAATTTTATTTAGAAGTTAGTTACAAATTTTTCTCTACCCATACAATGATCAATTTTCCTATTACTAGGTAAAAGCTGTCCCAGAGCTAAAAGAGAGAATTGATACCCTCTAAAGGGTGATTCTATGACTCTATGATTCAGAGTTTTCACCAGAAACGCAGTCACAATCATTTCAAACAAGTTTTAATGAGTATTCAGGCATCTTACTCCCACAGAAATGTGTGGTCTAGATGCCCAAAATCTATCTTTATGACTGTTGTTTTGAAAGCTACCAGAACTAAATAAACATAACCCCTGGGGTCTCCCCTCAATGCTCCTGCACCAGTCTACAGTCAGCCAGGATGGAGGACCTGCTCTCTGTACATCTTTTGACTTTTGCACACGCCAGCTCTTTGCCAGGATTTAATGGTGACTGAAAAGTTATGACGTGTGATGGACACCTTCTGCAAATATCAGTATTTAAGTTATTAGTATTTCACATCTGCATTTAAATCACACAGTGAAATCCATTAGTCCTTCTTCTCAGCTGTCCTTCTAGGCCCCACAAAAATAAAAAAGGAAACAGCAAAGTGTTGATGGCATTTTAACACAAAAAATTCACTTGACCATGTTTTAATCCCGTTAAGGGACACATGCTATTTTCCCTTGCTTGCATCCATTCAAAATTTAGCTGCTTGCATCCATTCAAAATATTTCATGGTTGATTCTGTCCTAATTAACATTCACTGATTTTGTCTTGCAGTGTGAATTGTGAGTTTGTGGTCTAGTTCTCGAACCTCTCTTGTGCAACTGAAAAATTCCTCAGGTCATGTAATGAGTTTTCTGTGTGCAGAAATCCATAAAAGTCAAGTTCTTCCTCAGCCTCGTCTTTGGTATGAGGCTTCTCAGGTCATCATTGCCACTCATCTCCTTGGGTTCACTGGCTGCCTAAGAAAACTGCAGTTACCTGGGTTTTCCTTCTAAAATATTGTCCCAGTACTTCAAAAAAGTGATGCCATTCTAGCTAGGACTAAGCTGTCCCTTCCAGTCCAACCCTGTCACAAAGGACATAGGACAGCCAAGGAACAGTCTGGGAGCTGGCAGACACTTTCACTTAGTTCACAGAGGGAGCTCAATTCCTATTTCTGTCTCTGCTGATAATCACTGCAGGAATCCCAAATAAATACAAGAAGCAAGTCTCCAGCATACTTGAACAAAGTCCTCATGGCTGTTATGTAGTGTAGTGCCTTTTTTTTTTTTTAATTTTCCTTGGGACATGATCAAGTATGGCCAGCTGAACATTCATTAGACAGGGAAAAAAAAAAATCCCAACCAACAACATGGAAAATCAAATTATGAAAGTAGCTAGTGGGGATTTTTGGCAATGCTTTCTGACGCTTGAAACTTTGCCAGCCTTTAGTATTTCAACTGAGGATTTTCACAGCAAGAACTTTTCTCAGAATAATGTTTTTGGTTTGATATCTTTGTTTGTATTAAGTTCCAGAAAACGGTTCAGTTATTTCCAAAAATGAGGTTACAGAAGAAGCTATTTTGCAATTAAAGAAGTCTGGCAACACTATTTTCATACAATCATGGGTCTCTTTGCCTTGCAGGAAGCAATGCAGCTCAGCAAGAAGCTAGCTATTGTGTTAGAAATATGTAATTTCTGTAAAATTCTACCCATCTTATATGCATCCCAGAAAAATCTCAGTTTTGCACAAATGTAATACCCACTTCTTCCTAGTTTAACAGCTCCAGAATTAGAAAACTGTTTGCAATGAGATCGTGCTCTGGCTCAACACAGACATGCTTTCTGGGCTGGGGCCACATCCCTGAGCAGTTTCCCATGTGATTAACTGTGCAGACTTAGCATCACTCTAAAATACATTTCTCTGCATGTGTGTATGCATACACACACGAGTGTACAGTCAGTAAACCTTGCTGATGCTGAGTAACCCAGAAGTCCCAAGTGTGAGATTCTGACACAGGGCATTGCAGAAAAGTGATCCATCCTTTCTTGCTCCACATTTTATAAGTAACATTGGTGTGATGTCATGAAAACAAAGACAAAAATGCCAGTGGTATACAATCTTGTAAACAGAGGGTAAAAGGAAAATAAAACCATGGCAAAATACAGAGGTAAGAACACTTCCATGATCCACACAGTTACCTTTCTATGTTTGGATTGTCAGCTGCTGCTTCTCTCCTTTACAGCAGACATGAAATCAGATAGTAAAACTAACTTTTTGGATATTAATTCCCAGGTATGCTGCTGTCTAGGGTGGAGAAAGAATCAGTGACAGGTAAGCTGATGAAATAGAAAAGCACTCTCTTCCCACTAAATAGTCATCATTATCCTTACTGTTTTCCCATAAATGATAGGAAAAAAAAAAAAAAGGAGAGTTCACTGCCTACTGCTGAGATAAAGCAGCTCTACATTGATCTGATATCACTCTGGATTTGACACCCTACGGGTTTGTTTATAAGGTCTGACAAATGTGTATCCTTCACTTTCTCAGCTAAGAGTTGCTTTCTTCACTCTACTTGTAAGCAAGCAACTGAAGTATTAGATCTGAATGCATTTGGAAGACCTGACAGAAAGTTATGTTCTGAACCAGGTCCATTTGTGAATTATCTCTTTGAGCTTGTCTAGAATTGCCACAGTACACAGATATCTTTATAAAAACCATCCCTAGGCAAAATTTTCTGTAGCAACCAGCTTTCTCTTTTCATTACCAAGTTTCACTTTTACATGTGAAGAGTGGGACATTTTACTGTATAAATAGACAGTGGAATTGACTTAACAGTGGGTGGAAAATTCACTAATACAGACACAAATTCAGTTAACAGATTTCATCAACTTAACAATATTTTCACACTTATTTTCCAAGAACATCCCCTCTAGGATTTCACTAGCACAAATGTGCATAGCTTCCCTGCTTTACTACAGAAGACCAAAAAAACTGCAGTGAAACAAAATCACGTCTACTTTTACCTACAGATTTTCTTTAAACCCCTGGAAATAAAAAGCTGCCATGAGGGCAAGGTACTATTCTCTGAAGTCTTTTAAAATACAATTTTTATTATCGGTTGGATTATAATTAAGTTGTTTTTTCAACAGACATAGTGAACTCCATGCTTGCAGCAAGCTTTTGGTGTATTACACAAAGGAGAAGAAAACTTTAGGAAAAATTTGCCATAGATGAGACCTCCAAAGTCACACATACTGAGCAGAAGGATAAGTGGATGTCAAGGGAATAGAGCTTACATTCCAGACTACAGTAGATGCAGAGGCGTTTTCATTCGGGGGGGAGGGAATAAAGCTGAAAAAACCACCAACAAATAACCCAACCCTAAAATGCTCTTCAGAGCAAAATTTCCCCTCTTGTATATCTGTTTTGTGCAGAGAAATTCCCAATTTCATGATAATCATTTGAATTTCATTCCTACCCCCATCTTCCAAAATTTTAGGCATATCCATATTCCAGGGTCAAACGGCTGGACCACCCTGTTGCCTCCCTCCAGTTTTGCAAACTGATGTTATGATGTAGAATGATTGTGAAACTATTACATGAAGAATTTGGTAATTGTCACTTCTATTGAGGGAGGAAAAAAAGAACAACAAAAGAGGTTCAGAAAGTACAGGAGCCTGAATGACAGCAAGTGCTAAAAAAAAGGAACGCTGACATAGCAGTTAAGAAAAAGTAAAATGATTAATTGCATGGAATGGGCATATTTAGGAAGCATGATACATCTGCTACAACTTTAGGACATATAATGACTCCTTGCAAAGCTGAAAAAGAGGAAGTAAACTATAAACTAGAATTAGACTGATCCTAATCATTACAACTAAATGCATCCTTAGTATGACTGCACTGGGAATATCTGCCTAAGAAAAAAGACAAATATGAACAGAGGGATTCTGGAACTAAAAATTTTCTATTGGCTGTGACACCAAGGTTTTGTGTTTGTAAACATATCATCTACTACTAAACAAGGCTTATGTTTAAATATGTAATAATCTAACATTAAAAAAATTTTCTTCCCTAAACCAAACTGAGAGAAGTAAAGAGTGGGTTCCTTCCTCAAGCATTACTGAAGAGCGACTGCACAGTATTGTTTTTTCCTACTCTTATACAGACTGGGTTTAAGGCCTAAACCTAAAACAATTTGGTTTTTAGGCTAAACTAAATTTTCTGAAAATTACCTTGTAAGAGCAGGAGTAGCCATGCCAGCTTGCACTCCAATAGCCATAGGAATACCTCCACAGCGGATATTTCCCAGCTCTTCTGCCACTGCAATATTATAGGAGAAGTCCAAGCCCATGCCACCATATTCTGAGGAAAAAACAAATCTATGATTCTCATGTTCTAGACTGGCATAAGCAACAAGAAAAAAAATAGTATTGCTACTGCAAGGACTTGCCAACTGCAATCTCACTATTAATTTTTAAGTATTTGACAATTACCATCTTTCCTTTCACAAAAGCGATACCACACTATTCTAAATTGAGAATTACACCTGCTCCAATTACCTGTGTGCACATCAGGTCACCTCTAAATATCCTAAGTAGCCTCATTACTTTTACTGGAAATGGCAGGAAGAAGTGACATGCTGCTGAAAACAACATTGGAAGGCAAAATTATTCTTTCTAACAGTAAGGTCATATGAACAAATCACAAGGCAATAAGTGCTTTTATTTCTCCATGATAATGCCTGACACTGGCTCTCACCCCGCAGTGCAATCATTTTTCTCAGACGCAACACTCAAGTCAGCACAGAGCAAGACCACAGGCAGGTCGTGTTTGTATGCTGGGTTACTGTCATAGCTCAAAGTCCAGGATTAGACACAACTACAGTACAATGAACATGTGCATTTCATATCCTGGCCCTTGGTCTGGGCAGTCATTAAAGCATTCTTCCTTAGCAGGAGGCTGACGACCTGGGGTGCTGGTCAGGTCCCAGCACAGGCCAGTGCTCCCCCACACACACACATTCCAATCTGAAAATTCAGTTAAAGAGGAAATTATTCTTCACCTTATTTCCATGCTCACTGATGATAAACCCACCATGTAATGAAGCACAGAAAAGGGCTACGTTGCTATGATGGATGAGGTAGTTTCTAGTTGTATTAAATAGCTCCTAGTCCAAAGGAAATATGGTGAGAAAGTGAAGGTTACTGCTTGACGTCGTTGGTTGACTGAGAAGCTTTGATTAGATAACATTTCCTCTTTTTTTTTTTTAAACTCATTTGAAGACTGACGAAGAAAATGTCAAATAAATAGATATAACCCCCACCCCTCACACACACAATACAGGGCAAACAACCCTTTCTCTTTTCGCTCGCTGACATCAAACACTGAGCTCACCCCTCTACTGACCTGCTCTGAAGTTTTCAAAAAGCACCATTAAATAAAAGTCAAAACACCACAATGTGTATAAACACAGGGCTTTGCATGCTATCATCTGTTTTGTAAACCCACAGAAACTATCTTTGTGCATCCTTTTTCTGCTGAAAGAAAGGAAAACATAAATGGAAAAAGCTAAGCATAAGTTCAGTTTTCAAACAGCATTTCTTCTTGGGTCATTCTGAATAGTCTGGATTGTCAGCATTAAAAACTGGCTACTTTTCCAGACTTTTGTCTGAAAGGAATGTTTCTTAGAAATATACACAAAATTCAAGTTCCTACTGGGAGCTTAAGCAGTGAAATGAAAAAACCAGCACTAGGGGAATGTGTTTAATATAATAGATAATCCAATTCTCCTGCCTTTACAAAGCCCCCATCAATAAATACATGCTCTGAGGAGCAGTAAGGAATGTATGTGCATGTAAAGGCAGGAGTATTTAAAGATATCTGGCATGAGACAGTTTTCGCTAATTTTATATGAATCCATAGCAGAGTTATAATACCTAACCTCAGTTTTGGCACCACGCATATGCTTTTCAATTCATTTTTATTTTTTTTAAAATCTGTCATTATTTTTATTGCCAAACTTCAGTTATTACTGATTTTATCTTTTGTTTCATCTACCAGGTAGTTATATTCCTGTCTTTCACTTAAATGTCACAAATCACAACCTTAGTTTTTTTGATTTGCATGCACAAAACTGACCCAAAGAAGGACCACTTTATCCAAGTACACGGCTTACAGGCATTCTTTGTCCATACCACAGTTCATTATATATTACCATGTAACAGCCTGCCTTGATCTTATTTGAGATTAGTTACTAAGCAGCACATTTTAAAAACAAAATGCTGCAAAAGGCCAGCTCTCAAAGGGAGAAGGAATTTCCTACCAAAGGGAGTAAAGGAGCAGAATGAAGCTTTGGGAGCCAGAGGTGGAGGGGGAAGCCCTTCCAGGCAAAGAGATGATAAAATCCGAAGATTTTATAATCTGGAAATAGATAACACAAGAGACATCCACAGATGCAGGCAGGCAGGAAGGGCAGAAGCAAATGGTAAAAACATTAATCAGACCACACCTAAGCTTTCATTAGGTCTGTTCCAGGAGCCAAGGAGATAGAAATTCAGGGAGAAATGTGAGTGGTTGGATGGACAATTATAGGGAATGCCTCTGTTGAACCGAAAGTACTTGATCAAGATAGAGATTCACTTATCAGTGCAGTCTGTGCCGCTATATCCCCAGCAGTTTGGGTAACATGCCATGGCTGAGCACAGTTGTGTCCCATCTCTTTGGAGAACTGGACCTCTGCTCCAAGACAGGCTGCCAGCGATATCACACACAGCAACAGCATGCAGTGCTGGCTCCCAGTACTGAAGGAACTTTCTTTCTTCCCCAGCACATGGGTGGCAGCCTGGTTCTTGCAGCCCCGCTGCTGGGCACTCCAGCTGGCTATTTTGGGGCCAGTCTGAGCACACTGCCTTGTGTGTCACAGGACTCAGCTCTTAAACTGAGAAAAAAACCACCAGGTTGTTCTTATTTCCACCTGCTGCAGTGATGCTGGTGAATGTTTAATGGAATAAATGTTTAGGTTTTTTATGGAATGAGACTTACTCTTTTTGGAATAACTCTTACTTGCAAAAAGAGAATATACTGTTGTTAGGAGGGTCATGTTTGCCAGTCTCATCAACAAACACCACCTCCTGGAAGTATCTGTAACATGATGCAATGCTAATAGGCCAATTAAATTTTCATTCAGAAAAGCGAACATCATGCCTAACATAATTTTTGGTGAAACATCCATAAGGAAGGGAACCAAATCAATTTGAGATTGGATTGCCCCAAAAAAAGAAAGGAATAAAAAGCTATATATAAATATTCACTCTCAAAACATTTCTAGGGTAAATATTTAATCTAAATTTAAAATAAGATGAGGGACCTTTAAAGAATTCTTTGGCTACATTAGTGTTTTCAATTTACAAGAAACTTAAAAGAACAGATCGAAGACAAGCTAGGCAGAAAGTCTAATGCACTAATGCTTTTATAATCCAATACAGGTAGAAAAAGGCAACTGCTATTTTTGAAGTGTTTTTGATGACAATAGAACAACTTCCAGCTGTTAAATGGCTTAATTTGATATCACATCCATTGTTTGATTTCAGGTTAAATTACAAAACCCTAAGTGAGAACACAGGAACATACAAATAAATAAAAATACAAATAAATAAAAAATCTGCACTACAAACTACAGGCAGGACCCACATTGGAGGAGGTAAAAAGTGTGAGAAGCAAAGTGTAGCAGTGAGAAAATGCTGTGGACTGACTGCAATCTCCTGTCCCCAAGCCCCTGTGCCGTTTGGGGTGTGGAGGGAGGTAGACGACTCAGGAATGAAGAACTGAAGCTGAGCTTAGAGGCGAGGGTGGGGGAACATGTTGTTTTAATTTGCCTTTGTTCCTCACTACATAAATCTATTTTAATTGGCAGGAAATTGCAATAATTTTCCCCCAGCAAGTCTGCTTTGGCCATGATGGTAACTGCTGACCAGTATCACTGACTTTTTCAAGACAGCCAAGCCTGGCCATTGTATTTTCTCCCCTGTCCTGTTGAGGAGGAGGAGTGAGTGAGAGGCTGGCCAAGGCAGGCCACCACACCACAGTCAGTATATTAACCTATTCTTTTAAATTTGCTCTGTGCTTTTCTACTAATCACAATCATCACCACATTATTTTAAAACTCCCAGCCCCCAAGAGCTCCTTACTTCATACAGACCAGCAAATTTCTAATGTTAAGTTTGTGACACTAGCAGTGGAGTCCAAGAGAACACAGTGACTTTTAAAAAACATTGTTTTTAAAAGATGCAGATGTACATTCTACTAAATCTGATAATTAAGGATATCAGGACTTTTATGCATGAATATAGGCACAGATCATAGATGATGCCCAAAACTACAAACAGAAGTACAAGACTACCTCATCTTCAGCTGCAACATGTCAAAACAGAAACACTGCTGGAAGATCAGTTGGGAAAACAAAAGAAAGGACTGTCTATGAAAAAGGACTCATAAAGGCAAATGAGAAGCTAAAGTCTTTCATATAATCATTTCATTTTTATGAAGATCAAGGCATTTCTTGTCACTTGTTCAGGCTCCCTATTCAAACATGACTCTGCGCAATGGTGAGAGAGGCTCAAAGTCTCTAGTCCAAATTTTGTAAAAGTTTAGAAGTGTCTCTATTTGAAATTTGCTTCTGATCACCCTCTAGTAACTGCCAGTGGGAGTGACACTATCTGTGGTGAAAAACGTCTGTAAGTGAGCTGAGACAAGGTGAAACAGGGGGCCTTCAGAGTGTTTTAAGAATGTAAGTGAGCCTTGAAAAACTTTCCAAAGTCTGCAAAAGTGTATCTACACCAAAGAAAATCACACAGTATTATTTCCACCATCAGCACCTACCTCAGTGCAAGAACAAATAAATGTGTGCTTTCTATTTCTAGGGACTAGAAAGGCAAATAATACATGAATAAAGTCCAGTTCTGAAGATAGGCCTCAGAGACTCCTACATCTGATACTAGGATGACAGAGCTAATTGCCAGTTTTAATCACAGCCCACAATTTAAAATCAACAGAAGCAAAATTTAAGTGCTCAAACCTTACTCACCTGCCATAAATATAGTTCAAGAATTTTAACTCCAAGGAACTACAAAGAGCCCTGAATTAACACAACTGCAAATGTCATCAGGTAGGACAGTACAGAAATCCTACCATAATTCCTTTCCTCTTCTTTATATAAAAGGAACTTAAAGAATTACCAGAGGTGTACTCTCTGTCTTATACAATTTCCCATAAACCAAATCTGAAAAGCTGAAGCTGAAGAAGCTCAAAAAACACCTCCTGCCTTCTTGGTTATTTGCTCTGGCTGGTGTAGAGGAAAAAACCTC